CCGCCGCCGCCACCGCCGCTGCTGCCGCTCGAGTTTTCGTCGTGACGTGCGGCCCGCTATTTTCGCGCTACGAAAACTATACGTGCCTTCAACCCTCGGCAGAGAAGGGCGACTACCTTTCTGCACGACGATAATAATTGATATTCAAGATGCCGGTGGCGTTCTTACGAGATTATCGATTGCAGCGAGAGAGCGTGTGTGTGCGCGACAATAGATGCGTAAACTGAAATGTCGCGTGAAAAACGAACAATGATGAAAAACCTCTCGCGCGGAGAATAGAAAATGACGAACGATTTACGACTTTAAAATGAGATGACGATTTTTATCGCGCAACTTGGCCGCGAGATAGAATTGAAAGATATAATTGATTGCATCGTTTTTTCGAGCAATTGCATAATCGAATGGATTCTATAAAAAAATGTTGGATTTGTAACTTGTACTTATATACGATACACACACACATAATCGAGAGTCGCAGTAGAGATATATTTTTTTGTTCGATTTTGATGAACACATTGATATTTCTTGATATATTATTGAGGAAAATACCGATGTGTCGCATGATTTCTACTAACATGCGCAGAGACGCCTGATCTCAAACGTTATCATTAGCACTTTGCGAGCAATTATTACAGCAAATCTTTCACGCTTGAGTTTAATAAAAATGCTAACCGCACTTTTCTGAATTATGCAGTTTTTTTTCCTTCAGATCAGTGCAATAAATAAGAAACTAATTTGCACTCTACATCAGTTTTTTTGCGCAATTGTCTTTTACGTTATAGTTGTAAAAAAATATATTAAAAGGTGTTTTGTGCGGCGTGTATAAAAATATATCGTTACAGGTAAAGCAAAAGCTTTATTGTGGTGCTTGCGATCAATATAGGCTGACTAGCAGTAAAGAGTATAGTCGAAGGTTAATTCCATGAGTTTCACGCAATTTGCATTTTATATTTTGCTCAATATACATATATAAACTTCGAGAGAGAGAGAGAGAAAATTTTATCTACGATGTCCTATTGTTTGCTTCCTCCTCAAATATATGTACTTGCAGAATGAGTGAATAAACGTGACTTATCTTCTAAGGAACGTAGTGGATTCGAGAAAAAGAGGGATTACTATCACGAGACGCGCGCGCGTGT